ATATATTAGCGATAGAATCATTTTCTGAGAATTATGATTTTACATGTAGAAATGTATACTAATTAGCATATATATAATTGGCCAATGTATTATTAAAATGAATTCTAAATGGAACATCCTGTATATATCTCATTTCACAATCATGCATCTATTTTTTTTAATATTTTAACTGCGACAATAAAGAGTTTTTGTAATATCGTGGATCCAGATATGATAAACGCTAAAGTCACGTTATTCTTTTCTTACTTAATTGTTAAGAAGAAGATAACGTGATCTTAGCGTTCATCATATCTATGATAAACGGTAATGCAAAAAACTTCCTATTTTCAAAATCTTTTCTTTCTCCTATTTTTTAAAATCTCATTTTTTATAATATTGTGGCCAATTTGAATAGTTTCTCTTTAAGAAAATATCAGAGAATTAAAGATTAATGTATCTATATTTTAGATGTGTCTCCTAAATTTTTCGCAAGTAGAATAGTAATTCCAAGAAAATGATTCTATCGCAATTCTCTTCCTTCTCTGCCATACATGGAATAAACTCTTTTCTGCTTTCCGATAACGGTTATGTTTTCGGACACGTGTCTGCGCGAAACGTAGATCTCCGCCGATCATTAATACGATAGAAAAGAAAGCGTTTTGCAAACACATGAAAAATCATTAATTAATGATGGAGTGTAATACAATGATAATTTCGTTAAAATACTTGGTCGAGACACGACGTCACACACTGGCGAATGCATTTAACTTGTGCGTATATTAGCTACATATATGAGTAGCTGTATATGGGTTCTTATGTTAGAATGTCTAATGTCTTTCATCAGAATGTTTTATTATTAAGTATATTTACAATTTTATATTTGATGTTATCGTCGTCAGTAACCTAAGATGAATAAAGAGGTAAAAAATTCGTTGCATTATTCTTCTTGGCAGAATTTTTCCGCTTTTTCTGGATACTTCTTTAGGTTATGAATATTTTTGAAATCTTCATAAACACTTCTCATGTTAAATACAAGAAATATATTAATTTATATATAAAATTTATATATAAAATTTATATATAAAGGAACAGCTATGTATAATCAGGATAAATTCAGTAAATTCTTCTAAAATTTTCTTCTGATCCAGATAAAAATACATATTGAATTTATTTGTTTTATAAATTACGCAGTTTAAAATCCACGCGATATCTAACTCGAAATAAACTGAACATATTTGAATAATTTAATTCAAAATATTTCCTAATATAAGATATTGCCAAAATTTTATTTATTATTTTGTCACCTGTTTTTAAATTAAGAATATTTTATAATTCATTATTCACAATAATGTCTGCTTATTAGAAGTATTTTCTATTTTTTGCATGAATTATTTCTATATCAAGATTTTCTTTATATTTCATTCAATTGTGGAAAAGAATTTTGTTAATTATATTGGTTTAGAATACATTTATATTCACAATAATTGAATTGATAAAGTGATTCATAAAATGTGATAATGTTTCCTGATGATGACATAATTTATATATACAATGATGTAGTGAAGACATATAACTATTTCTTTATTATATTTTCTTACAAAAATTTATATTATATTGCATTTCAATTTTAATCAACAATATTTTTTTTGCAGACATCACCAAAGAAATCATGCATTTCTCCAATTATATCTCAGGATCACGGTTTGAAAAATGGGGTAGGTATTTTATTTCTTACATCTTATTTATTTTACATCTTATTTATATACTAGTTTTGCTTCTTGATACATTTTAGATTTTCAGTATTGTATATATCTATGTACATATCGGAACATAGCTTTAATAAAAACAATACATTTGTAACTTGCCAAGATAAAAACTGTACTAATATAATAATAAACTTAATATTTACGAAAGGTACAATTAAAGGAGGACTTTAATCCAAAACTGGAGCCACTGCTTCAGGAAGGCCCAAACCGTTTTGTAATTTTCCCTATTCAGTATCCTGATATCTGGGACATGTATAAAAAGGCTGTAGCCTCTTTTTGGACCATAGAAGAAGTACCCCTTCACAAGGTATAAGCTCTTAAATTATAACATTTTTTTTCTTTCAAAATATAAAAATATATAATTGAAAACTTAACGTATTGAATAGCTTAATAACTAAAAAATTTAAAAATATATAATTGAAAACTTAACGTATTGAATAGCTTAATAACTAAAAAATTTAAAAATAAAAATAGTCTTTAATATAAATATATTTAACTAACAATGAATTCTTGCAATTTTTACAGCAAGACAAGAAGGACTGGAATGAAAAACTAAATTCCGATGAGAAACGTTTTATCTCTCATGTTTTAGCATTTTTTGCCGCTTCCGATGGTATCGTTAATGAGAATCTAATTGAGAGATTCAGCCAAGAAGTGAAAATTTCCGAAGCACGTTGTTTCTATGGCTTTCAAATTGCCATAGAAAATATTCATTCTGAGATGTATTCTTTGCTCATTGAAACTTATATTTCTGATCCAAAAGAAAAGTAAGAATATATTTGTTCACATTTATATATTATATGCAGTACTATACTAACATTACTGTGGCGATCTACTATACTAACATACTGTGGCGCAGGTATGAGAATGTAGCGCAGCTGTTTTCTGTGCCAAAAATTTAGGGTATTCAAATATATTCAAATCCATTCAGAACAAAAATTTGATTTGACCTCCTTTCTGAAGGCAATGACAAAACTACTGTATTTGCCATCGTTCGGAGCCGGCGTTAAAAATTGTAGATCCCATATCTCAGTAAATATATTATATCGATCCCCCAATTTGGGAATTAAACATTAGGGAGTTAACAATCTAATTCCGGAAAAATCATTGTTTCGAAACCTCGTCTTCAGAGGAGACTCATATCGATTTCTACCATAGAGTCATTGAATGGAAACTAGCAACTTTTACATATACAAGATGAGCAAAAAGTATTGGACAATCTAAATATCTCGGAAATAAAACATTTGAAAAGAAAAATTTTAATACAAAAGTTGTAAAGCTTCATCAAATGAATCCAACGTTGACACTTATTTAACCTTGAACACAAGTATAAAAAAAAATCTAATACTCGATGATATTTGAACTTTATCAATCCATATTTCAAAAAGTACTTAACTAAAAAAATTTTATTGTAGTGTTTTGAGAACCTCAATGTTAACTAAGAATATTGAATAGAAGTTACCATTAAAAATTTTAAAATTGACTTTAAGTTCATACCTGTGCTCAAATGAATATCGCTATTTGGTGCATTTGATGAAATCTTACAACTTTTATATGAAACTTTTTTTCTCAAATGTCTTCTTGTTTTCGAGATATTTAATCAGTCTGATATTTTTCAGTCTTTATACGATATTTTCAAGTTGTATATAATTTACATTTTACTGTCATAAAATAGAATAATTCATTTACTTCAACGCATTATTTTTATATTTATTGAATTTATATTTATGTTTTAAGTATATTATTATTGAAATTACATTGATGAAATCTTATTTCCAGAGATTTCTTATTTAATGCGATTGAGACACTTCCTTGTGTCAAGAAGAAGGCTAATTGGGCATTAAACTGGATCAATCATGAGAGCGCTACGTTTCCCGAACGTGTAGTCGCATTTGCGGCAGTTGAGGGTATCTTCTTCAGTGGCAGTTTCGCAGCCATTTTTTGGCTAAAGAAACGAGGAGTCATGCCAGGTCTCACCTTCAGCAACGAACTTATCTCACGAGACGAAGTCAGTAAATTAGTTTTATTTTTTTTTTTATAATAGGTTATTCAATTTTTATTTAATAAATTTTATATTTATCGTTCATTTTAGGGATTACATTGCGATTTCGCCTGTTTGATGTTTAAACACATCGTACAAAAGCCATCGTTTGAGCGTGTGAAATCAATTGTAATGGACGCCGTAGAAATTGAAAAGGAATTTTTGACGCAAGCATTGCCGGTTGAACTAATAGGAATGAATCGCACATTCATGTGTAATTACATCGAATTTGTTGCAGACAGATTATTCGTTGCATTAGGATTTGAAAAGGTAATGTATAAAAAAGCTTATGAGTGTATTTTTTATTTTAATATTTTTTAATGTTTTTATTTTATATCGTGATAGATACTGATAATTTCGTAATAAAATTTTAGATGTTATTTTAATTTTATTTATTAAAAGGTATAAAATATGATAATTTTAGGTTTACAATTCGGAGAATCCGTTCTCTTTCATGGATTTTATTTCTATGATGGGTAAGACAAATTTCTTTGAGAAAAAAGTAGGCGAGTACAAGAAGTTCGGAGTCATGGAGGAAGATTCTAAAAAGAAGAGCACGTCAGGTGTGCTGTTTGGTGCAAAGTTTTAATGTAAAAGATTTGAATATACAAATAATATAAAACGAATAAAGAATGTACTCCTCGAGGGAGAGAAAGGATATATTGGTAATTCCGCGACTTTGAAATAATTTTATAATAATGATAAACTTTAAGACAAAAATTTTTGACAAATATTTTCGAGACAAAAAAATGTTTGTACAGTCTTTATAGAATATATTGTAAATTGACAGCATCAGTAAAAAAGTTAATGTAAATGCATTTTTATATATTTTTGCACATCAATTACAATAATTTTCAGTTGTAATTTCCAAAATTATTTTATAAGTAATATGTTATTTAAAAAAAGTATAACTTTAATTTATAAAATTGTTAAAATTGTTGTAGTTTTTTATATTTAATTCTTATTGTAATTGATAAACAAAAAAAATTTTTTTAAAAAGTGTACAAATTTTTCTAAAAGATACTTTTTTATGATGCCATCGAATTGTTCAACAAACTTTTGAGCAACAAAGCGTTTGCTTAACTCTTAAATGTGTGTGTACAGAGTATTAAATGTAAAACAAATTTTAATTTATTATATAAGAAACCGTGATATTTTGTGACACTTTTAGAACATGTCTTTTTATGATTTGATTGCGATTTTATAATTGAACAAATCAATTAAACAACTAAATGTTGATATTAAAAGTTTTTGTCATGTTCTGTTATAAAATCTTATTGATGACATATCGAAAAAAGGACTACATAATTTTGAATAAATAACTACATATAAATATTATAGTCTTGATTACTTTAAAATTTAAAGCTGCTACTTAAAACAGTATTTGTATAGTAGATAAGTTTGCAACAACTAGATATGTATGTAACAACTATGCGGCAATAAAATTAATTAAGAAATTTCTTTAAACTTTTATTATGATTATTTTAAAGAGTCTAAAAATGGTTTTGAAAACAAAAAGAGAAAAAGACTATACACAGAAATTAAAATATGGAAAAATTAAAACAAATATTTTATTTAAAGATAAATGTATTTATTTAAAGATAAATGTATCTACAATGTTAATATATTATTAATATATTAAACAAGCAATTATACGTATAGCACTATAAACTAGAAATAAT